GAATTCTGGGAGTTGAAGTCCACGCATCTTAAAGTGGCCAAGGTTGAGTAGCATGGATGTAGCTAGCCTGGGGAAAAAAATAATAGCTGGAACAATAGGTTCTCTCTTGAACATGAAATCTGAAAGGCCCGCAGGATGTACGAAAGTCTGATTTAGTTCCAGGAAATGTTAGTTAGTGCGTTAGTTTTGGCAACCCAAGGCGATGCATCTCTCCAGAGAAGCTGGGCCAAACTTGGGGTCTCTTTCCAGCGTAATCTTGCAACTGATTTTGGTTTGATTTGGGTTGTTTTCCTTGGATTCATTCAGCTGGATTTTATTACTTGGCCAGATCTCGCGCCTTTCCTGTTTCAGTCTGACTGCATTTATTATGTCTGTCCTGAGTGTTTTGACTGTGCTGAATAAATATAAAGCCGGTACAGGGTGACACAGATTAATGATTTAATTGAAAAGGACGACCCCACTTCCTGTCCAGTAAGAAGGTGGAACCAATGCTGTTTTGGGTGCTTTTGCTGTTGAAAATATTTAGAGCAGCAGAGTTTCACGAGTGCCCCCCAGGAGGAAATCCACCAGAATGATCTCCCGGGAGTTTTTTAAACACCTGGCTTGTTGGCTTTAGCCTACTTCAAATTAAGGTGGCTCTGACTCTTGTGTGAACCTAGTCAATTTGTGATTTATTCAGTAATCCAGGGCTAGGGTGACATTTAGTGCAAACCCAGTGTAAAAGACATAAGCTGCAGAGTATATAGGAACGGGATGAGGGGGGCAATATTTGTCCATTTCTGAAAAGGCAAACTTTTCTACTAACCAAAAAAGGAATCCGTATGTTTCCCTTTGGCAAAGATTTCATGACCATTTTGCAAACTCTATTTTCACGTGTATTTTTAATATTTGATATGCAGACGATACGTCTTCACGGTTTATATTTTTCTGTTCTTGTTTTGCTTGCTATTATGTTTTTCCATTTTTTAAATTTTTGTGGTTTTTTCATTTTATTTTTGGTAGGTAGTTGGGTTTTGGGGGGAGGTTGTATTCTTTTTGTATTTTTAAAAAACACTTGCAATAACATTTTATTTTAAATAAAGTACTTTTGTTGAATAGCGAAATAAATGACAATCGTTTTAAAAAATAGCGATAACTTTGTAATTGTTATTAACAATAACAATAATTTTGTGTTATTGCTAAAATAATAATTTTAAAAAGTAATAATTTTAAAAAATAGTGTAGGGTTGATGGGGAATGGGATTTGCCATGCACGTTCTGCTTCTCTCCTCCCAGAGGAAGAATTTCGTTCCATGTACTTGAATCCGTTGCTGGTGAAGGGGCCTGGCCGACCCATGAAAGTGGCCCCCGTCCCCAACGGTCCATTCCCTGATGAATGGGACTGGCGGGACCACGGGGCGGTCACGGAGGTGAAAAACCAGGTGGGTCTTCCTGTGCTGCGGTCCCCTTGCCCAACAGTTGGGTGGGTTCTGAGTGGCGCCGCGTTTGTTCCGCGTGGGTGGCGATGCCCGGCTCTGCTCGGCAAGTAGGAGGGCCCTTGCCAGGCGGTCTGGAGCAAGTCCTCCTTTCCTCGTTGCGTCAGGACAACGGCTGCGTAGGGGCTGGAGAAGTTCCCTGAGCCCAAAGACGACAGGAATGGAGGTTTCCCTTGCAGTGGATCCGGGCAAGAGGAGGCTTAACGGAAGCAAGCCAGGAGTGGAAAACAGAGGAAAGAAAAGGGTTTTTTCCCCTCTCATTTGCAGCGTCTGGACTTATGTATCAAAAATAAGCACAGGGAGATTAAGACATAAAAAAAGGGCTTCTTTTCGTGGCTACCTGATGAAGTGACAGGCACCAGCTGAAACGGTTTGGAGGGGGAATTAGCCGAATGCGTGGAGGATCAGGCTGCGATGGCTGCTAAATGAAGAGGCCCCCCCTTAAATCCAGGCTGTTGGGAGGAGACAGAAAGAGAGGGGCCACCTTCCTGTGGATTTCCTGGGTGCCCCTGATGGGTCTCCCTGAGACCCCAAAGCGTGGGTGAAGCGGGCCTTTGGCCTGGCTCCCCCGGGCTTTCCTGACGCCGCATGTTTTTCCTCCTCTCCCCCCTGCAGGGCGCGTGTGGCTCGTGCTGGGCTTTCTCTGTGACGGGGAACGTGGAAGGGCAGTGGTTCCTCCGCAAGGGCTCCTTGATCTCCCTCTCCGAGCAAGGTAGAGGCCAGCGCTGGGGGCAGGGGGCACAGCCAGCCTGGGGTTAGTTGCCCTGTTTGAAAATGTGAATCCCCCCCTCGGGTAGGGTGGTTCAGTGGCGCTCTTTCTGGCTGCTCCCCCCTCCCCATGGGGATGTTCACACAAAACAGGAGGAAGTGAGCGATTCGGAGTGACTGCCGGTCAAGGGGGTTTGTGCAGGCTCGGCAGCTTTTGAGGCTCATGATGTTGTTCTGCTTAGTCTGTGTCTCGCGTGACGGCTGGTTGAGCTGGCGAAGCTTTCCGGGCCAGGTGGGGCAAGGGTTGCGTTTCAGCCGGCTTCTCACCCGGCCGGGGCTGGCTGGGGCTGAGCGAGGAGGACCA